ATATTTTTCCTGGTGCATATGCTTTGCTCTTCACCCAGTGCATTACAAGACTGATTCATGCAAGCATAAAACAGAACAGTGCTTACATTTATGATGAGAATCACTAGCTACATCGTCCTCTCGTTTGCAGCTTGTACAATGTTAGCTATAATTCACTCATTAATGCAATTAGTTGACCGACTTGTAGTTGATCAAGAACACCACTAATTAGTTGACTTAGAGTGGGTGGTCCTTGATCAGGGGTCGGCAACATGCAGCTGTTTGACTGCCCTGTTGCGGCTCCACGGCAGAATTAGATTTTTAGGTAAAAGTAAATGAATCCTTCTTTGCTGTAAAATAAAGCTGTGCTGATCGTTCAAACACAGTTTTGACAATAAATGGTTTGAAACGCTGGAGTTAATGTAGAACTGCTGATTTACCTTTTAACCCTGAAGATTTACGCACAGACTGCTGGTCACAGCAACACAGACAACAGTCTTGCCTAGCTAGCAGCTGACGAAACGGCAAAAGAGGAAGATTTAAGACGAAGATCACTTATTTGGAGACGAATGGACTTCACTCCAGCTGGTTTCCTGATATGTTTAATCTGCGACGATAAACTGTGAAACACAAAACTCACAAAGCTGAAGTCAGCTTCTCCAGCGTCTTGTTCAAATTTTCCTGTTCCACCTTAAACGGTGCCTGAGGCACCAGAGTGTAACTTCTGCACTATTTAAGGTGGAACGGGAATATTCAAGCAATATTTTACAAGAAAGTATTCCACTTTCCCTGGTGGAGATGTGAGAAAAGCGGCTATAGTTGAGCTAAGTACAGCAAAGTAAATCTCTGTTTTAATTTATATTTAATTTTTAGCCTATAATAGTACATCAGCGCACACAGACAAATTTACAGCTACAATGGTAAAATGGACAAAAAATATTGCGGCTCCCAAAGCGGTTAGATTTTTGTTGAAAGGACAAAAGGGGTCTTCTTAACATTTGGGTTGCCGACCTCTGTTCTAGATCATTTGGCTGATTAGAAGCAAATCTGAAAAAGATTTCAGAATGTGTCAGTGATCCACTGAACCTTGGAGCTTCAACCTGTGATTGACAGAATTCCAAAGGGCCCACCCCCAATTATCCAGATCATGTAAAGGTAATTCAGATGCATTCCAATTTGAGTGTTTTTGTGAGAGGAGAGTTAACAACGCATACATCAGTTCACTATGAATGCATTTTTTTTCCTAAGGCTGAGGAGGTGAAAGAATGATTGAGCCCCTCCAACAAAAACATATATTAACCATTCCACCCTGTTTTGCATTGTCAGTTATTTTGTTTTATTTTGTACAATCTTTTACATTAAAAAGCCAAACTATCCACATCAAACATGCTGCCCCCTCATCTCCCATCCCACCTAACATTAAGCATCCAGGTCAGTACTCACAAAGCTTCTTTGAGTAAGAGTGCTGGTCTAGGATCTGTTCCTGTCAGTAAGGTAACAGTAAATAAGAACGAAATCTGATCCCAGATCAGCACTCCTACTCGGAGAAGCTTTGTGAATACAGGCCCTGATCTAGCTACCAAAGACCACTGAAGATGTTAATGGAGCAGGTTATGTTTGAAACTAGTGCTGCATTCCATAGCACTCGGAGTTCGGAAAACGCAACATCTGACACGGAAATGTGCAATGGAACTGGATTCCCGGTTGGAAACTCTGGAAAGATCCACCTTTTTGAGTTCTCAGGCATCACAGTCAAAACGGCAACACATAGCATTCTCTCGTTGTATCCATGTTTACTTTATAAATCATTGTTTTCTTAATAGAAAAACAGAAAACACTCTAGTAATTCATGTAGGTCCTCTTAAGACGCTTATCAAATTCCATGATTTGTCATGCAATCATCAGTTTGCTGCAAGCAGTTTTCTGAGTAGAAGCACTGGAACTCATTTAAACAAGGAGTACCAATTTGGAAATATCCGACTTCCGAGTACAGCAGAAGCCAGTATATACACTGCAGGAGTCTCTGTCTCTCCAGGATGAAGCTGTCTGTTCTAATACTTCACAGTATTGCCGTCAGTGACACACAGGGTCTATCCTCATACCTCATACAGCACATATATTCTGTATTGTATTTTAGCAGAACCTCTTTGCCTTCAATTTGACGAGGTGCATGTAAGACTTGTGCTGCTGAGTTTTGCCTAAATAACCCAAAGCAGCACTAAAATGAGACAGCAGTGTTTGTAAAGTGCCCAGTGAATAAACTGATTTCATTCACCGGACACTTTACAAACGTCATGTTAATGCCCAGCACTTAACTGACATTCTAACAGGTAGTGTCCAGTAAGGCAGCAACGTGTAAAATGTCCTATTGTTGCGTTCTTTTTACTAGGCTTTGCCCGGGCTCATCACATTTAGTCATGTACCTTAAATATTTTATGTCATTTTCCATACTGAAGTCAAGTTAAACCACTGGTGAGAATCTGAGAAGGAATGTAAACTCATCAAAATGACTTTTTAACTCTGTATCTATATTTACAAAAGATTAAGAAAACATTACTTATTTTAAATGAACATAAATGATTCATTTGAGCAGTAGGAGATTTCATGTGACATTCCAGTATTGCCAGAGCAGGGAAGTACATCACTGGAATGAGAATCCAGTAATGTTTTTTTTCCCCTTCCTCTTTACTACAGGGTCATTCCAGCATCCCCTGGACTTAATGGCTAGCATCTCACAGTCAGCTGTCAGATTGGCTGTACATGTAACATCCCCTGCTGCCTTGCCTGAATATCTAACCATCTCATTTACTTTATCTGAAAACCCGACTGGAAATAACGAACCGTCAGTTCCTTGATAAGTGTGGATTCCCCCTGTGTTACTGACCATACATGTGCAGATTTGTGCATCAGAGAACTGCGGTTCCAATCATTTTCAGGTTGTCTGTAAAACACAGTGCAGAATGTTTTTTCATGCCAGTCCTGCACAACAGCACCTGATCCTACTGATCAGCTTCCATTGTTTGTTGCAGAGCTGAGCTCATTAGTGTAATCAGGCAGTGTTGTGCAGGGTTGGAGTAAATACCTGCAGACACCTCACTCTCGGTGGAGAGAGTCCCCTTTGCTATACATTACGCTAACAATGTGCAGACAGTGCGGCTTCAGTCGTGGGTTGTCAGGGGCTAGGTTTGTGATGGAACCTTTTGCGTTTGCCAGTGTTGGAGGAGGCGGTCTTGGCAAGCTGTCACTGAATGCGTGGGAAAGGGGCCATCTATTACTGGAGGAAATGTTCCCTTGGTGAGTAGCTTACCTTAGTGTGCTGTTGCTACTCCGCTGCGCCAGGCTTTACAGGAGAATTAGTCACAAAATCAGTTCATCAGTTCACTATTTGTTGATGTCTGTAAGGCACAATTTAGTCCACACTCCCTGGACAGTCTCTAGCTGGACAAAATGAGATAGCAGACATTATGAGATGGCAGCATTAGGACAAGAAATTGGCTTCTTTTAATTTATCTCTCTACAGACTGCCTGAACTTTGGCTGCAGTTCTCCAAAGTGTCCAAACATTTAAGCGTCACAGGTTCAGTACTGGAATATGGGTGGAATGCTCCTTTAAAAAAGTAAAGGATTGCACTTGGGTCATTGGTCCCTTGAAACCAGTAACCAGGGACGTTGTAAGAAGAGGACATGAATGATTCAGGGACACTGAGATAGACAAAGCTCTGACACATGCTTCAGATGATGGATTATATTGTAGATTAGATGTGAGCTTTCCTAAGGGGACTTTGGTCTCAGCCTCCGATGCGGCACTCGCGATAAAAGTTTGTGAAATTTACGGCATCACATTTCTAATTTTCTTTGAAGCATTGAACAGTTCTTACGTGCGAGATATTCTTGCATGTTTTTCAACTCTCATACCCATTTGTTTCTTGTGGGTCTGTTTTTCTTGTAGCCTTGTGTTGAAATTCAAATTTTTCATCCAGCTACATGATGAGGTACAAGCAGGTCCCCAAAGAAAACTTGTTCAGATCTATCCTAATTGTACCATTATCAACATTACATATAAAAACTCAAGACACATGTAGGTTCACTGATCATTATACATAGTAAATAAAATTGATATATTTGCATTGTAGACATTATGACCACTGTTTCCTATTAACACCACTGTTAAGGACCCCTCTGAATGATTTTATGTTTCAACTGTTGGATTTTGCAGAATTTTTGAAAAATCTGTGGAATTTCCTTTTAAAAGAGCCGATCATTTTTTTTACATGATCATTTTCCAACCTCTTGTTGTCCCTTAGAATTAAACAGGCTGTTTTTATCACTATGCTTTCAAGACTTATATAAACATCTCTGCTCTGACTGGCCGTCCTGTATTGTGCCTCATTAAAAAAGCAGTCCAGACTGGAACACTCTTTATAACTTCAATGTGAATGAGTGGATAAAACTGCTGTAGGCTGAATAGGTAATTATATATAAATACACTGATTTTCATGACATCACAAAAAGAGTGAATTTATAACAGGCTTGTGAAGTTTTGTTTCTGTATATGGTTTATATAGAATGGGGAGTGAATGGTACATTTTACAACTTTAACAATGTACTCAAAAAAACAAAAATTTCATTTTTCCATGATTTAAACAACATTTTATAAGGGCTCCATGAACTGTGCTTGAATTTCAAATAGCAGTAATCCCAACAGGGCAGGTGCCACCTGTTACATATAACATAGCGGTAGAGCCATTGAAGATGTAGAGCTATCAGTATAGCATGCGTACGCACACGCATCACTTTCTGTGGAACTGACACCACTGTTACAGTCACAGCATTTCTATTGATTTTTCTGCTGAATGGTTTTCTTAGAATTCAGTGTCTTGACCAAATCCTGAGCCCAGTGCTCAGAGAGACATCACAAGGAGACGTAGCTGAAAGAGAAAGCTAAGTGAAGCATGCCATGTGGGTGCAGTCATCTACAATAGATCCAAGGTAGTGACTGTCTCTCTGTGTTGTTCTAAACAGAGAATGCCATCCTCGCCTTTGGAAACGACACTGACCCCAAATCAGCCGCTAACCAGCCAGGAGCAGCCAGCCCAAATACCATCACTCCAAACCAGCGCCTAGCTACCAGCACCATAACCACTACCGCCATAGGCATGGGCGTGGAGACCCAGCAGAACATCCTCCATCCTCAGATGCCCACACAGGTAAAACATGCAGCACAAGGTTCAAAATAATTGTACTGATTTTAGCATGAAAAGTCTGGCTTTCTGAGACTAAAATAGAGGGGTAATTGCTGTGGAATTATTTGGCTAATCGAGTTAAACAATCTTGTATATGGAAATCCACTTTTTAAATTATTGAAAGAAATCTGAATATTAGAAAACGAAACCAACTTCACCACTTACGAAATGTGACTCTCTGTTCACGTTTTGGTAATGTAATCGTGGGTCTGATTGGTCCATGAAAGATTAACTGCTATATATTAAAATACTGTATCTGTGGGTTGGCTAAATAATGGCAGTGAACTGCTGCAGTACAAATCTCCCCCTCTTCTCTAAACTAAAAACACAAAGTCTACATGATTCATGGAAATGATGTATCTATCATTCAATATGGTGAATTTTGCTGAAAGATAATGCATCTGCATGTTTGGTAAATATGATTCCACTGCTTAGCAGACCAATTGCTTGAGATAATTATTAAAAAAGAAATATAAATACTGTATATTGTATTTTGTTGTACTGTACTTTGTTCGATTTGCAACAAGCCTTTCAACACAGAATCAAGTTGCCTTTTGTATGAATACATACAATTGTATACAAGAGTTTAAACACCCCTGGTTAAATTACATATTTTGTTTGTTCGCAGTGAAAATAACACATCCTCTACAGAGCACACATTTAAATGACATTTGTCTGCAAATTTCACTGCACAATTTCTATTTATTTGCTGATTTTAAGAAAAATCAACAAAATGTAATTTGACCGGCAGAGCCCAAACATTTGCATATGACTATAAATAAATTATACAAATATATACCGTATATTACAATAGGCCTAAATGCAATAGTGTAGCAGAATATAGGCAATATGAACACTATACCAAACTTTTTCTCTATCTATCTATCTATCTATCTATCTATCTATCTATCTATCAGTTGAACAGTTTTATTCCTATGAATGCATACTTTACTGAATATTATTAGAAATGTTCAAAATCGACTAGAGACAGCACAGTTCTTTTTTTTTCTTTTCGAGTATTCATATCGAAACTGAGCAAGGGCTGATACCAATACCCGTCCAACATTCTTCTTTAAAAACTATTAAAATTTTTAATTGAAGCACTTCACTTAAGAGCATGTATAAGTGGGCTATTATGCTGAAACTACTCAAATGCTCTACTGCCCCGCAGGAAGAAACGCACAGCTAACAATAGGACATCAGACAGTGTGACTATGCTTGATTTGTTACAGCACTGGATTGGATTATACTCCAGTATCTGATGCAGCTTTTTCGTCCGGTTTCAGCCTGGATATCTGGTATTGGATCAGTGCCATCTCTAGAATCGACTGTAACATTGCGAAGTAGACACAGCTGATTCTCCACCTTCAGACTGATGCAGCTACAGCACCTGTGTGCGAGTTCGATTCCTGGTGTGCAAACTAGTCTACTGATGCAAGACATGAGAACAGAGGGTGAAAGAGGGGACGAGATGATAAATGAAAGGAGGCAGAAAAAGAAACAGAAATAAGAGGAAAGACAAGGCAAAGAACAGAGAAACGTCAGAGCGAACAAAAAATGATGTGTAGACATGCAAACCCTGATACATCATGCAGCTAAACTCTCTCTCTCTCTCTCTCCTCTTTCCTCTCGCAGATGAACGACAGAGACAGACTGTGGAGCGACTCCACCCTCCCCTCACCTGATCTCTATGACAACAGCCCTGGACGTCCCGACTCCGCAGCGTCCGTCTGGCTCCTCCCACTTCTGCTGCTGGCCCTTCACTTCTAGAATCAAAAGCAGCCAATTGTAGCTCAGCAGCATGGAGTCAGGACAGTTTGTCTGTGTGGCTGTTTATAAATCTTAACCATTTATGGATTTCATCATTAATAAGTCGCTGGAGAGATAATGGACTGGATTATGAGAGCACAAGAGAGACTGACAAACTTTTCCAAAAACATCAAAAAAAGAAAATACAAAACATGGCCCGAGTTTTCAGCCCTCAATGTGAAGTAGTGATTTGTTTTAATGAGCACACAGTTTTACGACAGTGGACCAATTTGCTTGAGACCGAACTGGAGTAAAGAGTGTGTCTGTGTATGTGTTCATGTGTAAAACTCTTTCTACGACGGTCTCTCTGTAAAACAGACCCAAATCTGGAGTGCAAAAACTGAAATTACTGCACTAGAACTTCATATAATCCCTCTTTTTTAAACACTCCTTATTTCAATTCCTATTTTTCCAAAAGTAATGAGCTGATAAATGATTTTGGTACATATGTATTGACTGAAGAGCACAGTTCTGTAGCATGTGCATATGGGACAAAGCACAGCTATGGGTGTCTTGTTGGAGAGTTGTATTCTTACGCTAGCTGTTGAGACGAGGACTCTTCATGAGAAGGCACTTCATTGCTGATGGGTTCACAGAGATGTTTAAATAAGATGATGTTCTTTATTTTTGTAATGTGGATGAGATGTTCATATATCATTAGTGAAGTCCTCTCTTACTTTACAGTCTGGATTTTTCCTCTGCAGTAAAGTCTGCACGTTACAATCCCTTTCTTTTAACCTCAACCTGAATCGCCATGTGTTTTGGACTTTAAAATCTTTCAGTAGAACATGAGTGGAAAATCACCTTTGTTTTAAAAATGGTATGGAAGCCACACAGGCTGAGGAAAACAGTAACGTGTTAAACAGTGGCCAAAGTGTTGCAAAATGATTTCTCGATCAGTTTTCAGTCGTTGTTAGCCACGTCAGCATAACAGGGAATACTTGAGCATCTAAAACACTTTCACCGGCCGCGTGGACTCTGAATTCAGTGCCAGTGGATGTGGAAGTATTAACAGTGGCCCTGTCAACGGAAACTGAAGCACAACTCAAGCAAGTAAAACCTCCTGTGCATTCGATATCCAGAAGCCATAATAATGTTTTTCACTCACTGCTTATCACAACACTGCTATATCTCAGCCAATCAAGAAGAGCACAAAGAGCAACGCTGTTGTCCCACCCACAGGATCTGAGGACTACTACTCTCATAAGCAGCCAGCCAGTACTGCTAGTCTGTCTGGGCTGTATCAGAGAGAACATATTTAAGCCCTGCCCCCAAAGACTATTGACCAATCAGCTTCTCGAGGCACAAAAAAAAAGGATCAGGCGTTGGCAACCAGGTGGAGTATGTGGGTTTAATACATGTAATTTCCTGACAAATAAAGCTGCCATATGAGGACATGAGTGTATTTATGAAGTAGGTTTTTGTTTTTCGGCCAGCACTGAGAAAATAACACAAAGAGGCAAGAGAACAAAGCCTCAACTTCACCTACTTTTTATGCAGAGTTTACCCTTTGAGTGGCCACCTGTCTGCGGGCTGTGGGTCAGCAAACAACCATGCTGCCCCTCAGCACAGGTCAGCCACAAACAACAGCCACACACTTGCTCTCACACACAAACACATATACACACACACACACACACACACTGATTCAGTACTTGGAAGCATTCAGCACAAACCAGTGTGAAACCCTCAAGGCCTATTAGGCCTTCAGAGACGGCCTAATGATTTCTGGGAACAAAAAAAAAAAATTCCATAATTTTAGATCATTTTCATTTAATAGAATCTTCATGCTTCTTTTATTTAGTAATACTCTTATTGCACTGTTAAGTTTTAGTTGGGAACCAAAGGGTTAAAATCTTGAAACACCCAATGGAAAATTGTCCAATCAGGACTTTTTCAAAATTACTGCATAATTCAATGGTTAAGATGTAAACATTGTCATTCAGAGTGGTTTGATGTGAAATTCTCCATTGTAGAGAAACTTACTGAGTCAGAAGTGTTCACAGTGGTGGTCATAGAAACCAACTGGCCAAAGAGTTTAATCCCACTAAAAGCGACATTACATAAAGATATCAGATGAAACAGTTATGAACGCACTGTCTGGTGTCTGAGACATTGTTTTAGGATAGTTTTTAGATAAACTTTTGGCCTAAAATGTGTTTTTTCAATGCTGTTCATGGTAGAGGGGTACATGCAGGGCGTTGTAAGGACAAATAGCCCCCAGACTGCCACTATTTTACCATCATCAACATACAAGATGCATATAGAAATAGTAAAATACATATAAAAATACAAATAAAAACTCAGAACAGATGTAGTCAAAATGACGTCACTTTGGGCAGTAAATAAAATGGCTGTATTTGTGTGAACATTGCGCCCCCTTTTCCCATCACCACCACCAAGAAATCCAAGTCAAGAAGTTCCACTACAATAAACCACTTCACTTTATACCACTCTGAACAACTTTCTTTACATCAACAATTTAATAATGCAGAAATAAAAAAATAAACAGGTAAAATTCTCCTTTAACTACCAACATGACTAGGAAGTGACAGTGGAATCAACCAGTCATATCACATTTTGATTTACAAAGAGACGGACCAATTTCATAAGAAAAAAGGTCACTCTAGTCAAAGGGGCACCAATCCTCCCTCCTGGAGTTCTGCTTTCCTGCAGAGTTTAGTTCCAACCTGTGTCTAACATGGTCCCCTGTCTTCAACTAACATTGATGCATCAGATCCAGCAAAATCAAGAACTTCTGATGAAGTTAATCAGCTGGAGCAGGTGTGGGAGATTGCAGTTGGAACTAGACTCTGCAGGAAGGTAGATCTCCAAGACCAGGGACAACCACTCTAGGCCTTCTGGAAGGCCTAGATATGAGACTGACTGTGAATACAAGCTGTAGTCTAACCAGGTTTAGCTCTATAGGCAGCTTTACGCCAGGGCTCTTTACTGAGTCACTATAAAACTGCAACAGGTTTATATGTTACCTGCAAAAAAAGTATATATTAATAAAATGACCTCACTCACAAAGGTAATATATGTTACTGTCTGTGCAAGCTTCAATTAAAACATTTGGAATGTGCTTTACAAGCTGTAGTGTAACAAGTGTTAGCTTAGAGCTAACGTACTACTAGAAACCCTATTTTTGAACTAGCAGAATTTAGCATTACAGTGGAGGCTTTTTTTCCTCTTTTTATAGCCCAAATATGAGGTCTAGATCATGGTCACCACTGCCATAAACCTATTCACGTTAAAGGCTCCCTGACGTTCTGAGACAAATGGTTAGATGTGGTCATCTGGGGTCAGATTCATGAAAGCTTGCTTAAGAAAAAACATAAAGGTTCTTAAGACAAACACTAAGACATTCATAGGAATGTTCTTAAATGCAGTTCTCAAGAAAAAACTTCTCAAATATTCTCTGAAGATAATCTTGATTACTTTAAGATTTTCTCAAGAAAATCCCAATTGTTTTTTTATGTATGCTACGTTGCATTTTACCAGATAAACGATGCAAGATACATTCTGAATTTGTATTAACTTATTTCTGTATTATTAGTTTAATCCACTCAGAGGACAGCAAAATAGAGGAAAAACATCAACCAAGTATTTAAAAAATTAGCAAACAAGAACTAGAGCTGATGGTGAAAGAAATAGCCAACAAAAATCCTCATTGGAAAATAAGATAATTGTGGGGTGACGGACGAGGACGGGCAGGAGTAGCAGAGGCAGTGTCTGTGATAAATTTAGATGCTCACCTTGTCAACTCTTACAGCCAAAACAAGTGTGAGACTGTTGTAAGGTTAAGAAAACATTTAAGAACATAATATTTTGGAATACCACTTGTTTATTTTAATTATTCTTAAGAAAAGAGTTAAGAAAACACGATAGTCCTTAAAATGTTATTTGAAGAATAATTTCTCATGTTTTTCTTAAGAATGAAGAAAAAAAACAAAAACAAAAAAAAACAAACACACACACACACACACACACACATAAGAAGATTTTCTTTTTTAAGACACTTTAATGAATCCGGACCTCGGTCTTATCTTGTGCTGAATGATGCAACGCTTATGCACCAATATTCCAAACCCTCCCTCGCTGCCTGCCCCTTCACCCTCTCTACCACTCCCTCACCTTTCTGTCCTGCATTTATTTGTCCCTGAGAGCAGATTACTCTTTGTCAGCATGGACCGTGCTTTACCACAGTTAAACAAACACATCACTTTGCCAAATGCATATTTACTGATGCCAAGTTCTTGTCCAATTAAGCTGTTGTGCGCCGGCATGCCTGGCTGAACACAGACATGTGATTTTGTCTGACAGCTTCCTCTCCAAATCGAACTTTCCTGTGTGGAATCTAATTGCAGCTGACTCTTCTGCAGGAGGCCCATGGCGGAGAGTGGCAGCTAGCCCAGCTAACTGCTAATGAGACGGGCCAAAACCAGCCACATTCCTCGCAGAACTTTGCAGTGATGGTCCATGAAGGTCATGGATAATTTGTCATATTTTAATGGAAGTGAACCGAGAGTCGTTGTGACAACCTCTCAATCCGCAGCTGTCGAAGGCGGGTAGAGATGGCAGGTCATCTGTGGGAATCGAAAGTGTGAAGTGCTAGAATTCTGTCTGTATGGTATTCGGTCACTGTAAACGTGTAAATCTCACAGAAGGATCAGGTGCGAGACCAGTCGACATTTTCTTCAGAAGCCTCCTGAGTGAGATTTGCAGTACGTTGAACACAGCCCTGAGGCTCGCCCACTAGAACTGCAGGGACAGTGGACAGTGGAGTACACGGAGTTGTCTTGGGTCAGGAGCAAAAAACAAACAAACCAAAAAAAAACAAAAAAACAAAACAGGGCACCTTCTTCTAAACACTCATTAACTGACTTTTTAAAAGGTTGGCATTTTTGTAGCTTGTGAAAACAGTTGATTAGAGCTTTGAATTACAGTAGCTCTGACTACTGTAATCATCCTCATACCCCAACCCCAAATTTGTGTTCTTTTGTAGTAACTGCTGAATCCCATTCAATATATTATAACTGTAGTGCTCAGTTTTTGTCAAAATACATAAATTATTCACAGTGGATCACTACAGAGTCGCTACATGACACTGATTTCCTATTTAAAATGCTATGCTATTGAGCTGAATTGTGTTGTAGGCAATCAAAGCCAAGTGATTTGTGACAATGACACCGTTCTAACATTAGCCTGATTTAATGCCAAAAAATTATGATGTACTCTAAGTTGTTAAACCCGCATTGTGTAATATTATTTGTTAACACTGAAAGCAGTAGCATTACCGAGTATGTAGAGAAAAAAAAACACACTAAAATATGGTGTGTGTGCTGCTGCAAGTCACCCTGTACGACCTGAAATAATCATTTAAAACTCAGAGTTACCGAGACCGATCTGGCAGGAGTTTTTCGGACCACCTCATACGCACAGGCTCAAAAAGAAGGTCTGAATGCAAAAATCATCATTATACTGATGTAGAAATGAAGACAACAGTAGATAATTCACTCACATCCTCTGAAGACATGTTCTTCACCAAGCTTTGACTGAGCTCTCTTCAACTACTCTTTCAATGGACTCACAAAAGTCAGATTCATCCTCTTGTGGGGGCCTGAAACATAACCCTCTTTACAACACATGTTGCATGCAATTACATATTTCCACCAGAGAGGTCTCCAAATCCCCTAATCTTACATAGTGCAGCTTTAAGTGGATCTCCACTCTCTCATTAGTATTAAAACTTAGCTAAGTTACTCATTTAATTCTTGGTCCACAACTTCAGTAACCTAACACAGTTACTGTTCACTGTTTTTGCTACGTGATAAACAGCAAGCAACATTTTACAGCGGTTACTGACCAGTTAAGAGACTCCAGTCATTTTCTGGTACACCAGCCGAGTGTGTACCAAAACAGAGTGAGTCAACTCAGACAGCAGGACGTTTGCTTAAATTAACAGCCGGTGAGCCGATTGTTCACCACTTGCTTCATTTGCATCATCAAGCAAACTCATGCAGGTTTATGATGAGAAAGTGTCTGAATTAATTTTACTGATCCATATGATTTTACTGCTATTCAGTAAACCAGAACTCATCAATATAGCACAGCACTAATGGAGGAGTATGGATCCATTTCAGTCACAGCCTGATTTGTGTGCTACAAATTCTCACTGGGTTTAGTGCCACAGTTAAAAATAATAATAAATAAGGGCTGCCATGAGTCTTGTAAATTTCCTAGACACCAGACTGATGACTTAATTCAGGAGGTGCCAGTACCTTTACCAGTACCTTATTAAAATCTCTGAAATGTTTTCTAACCTCTGTATGATATGGGCCCTTTAATGCTTCTTCTTCACTCACATATTTGACTCTTTTAAAACCGCAACTCAACATGAACATAAAGCAGGATTTCTAACTTGTTTTCAGGAAGTCTTTCATGTTACACATCTCACACTCCTTACATCAAACCAAGGCAAAGCAACTAGCCAGTTAGCTAGTGTTCCAGCGTAAGTATGATATGTGACAAAAAGCGAACTGTGGCTCTTGAACATCGGCCCAACAGCATTTCACACAAGCCTTCACATCACGACAGCCCACACAGCCAGGGAGCCATGAGAGTCAGACACATCTGCATCAGAAAAATGACCACTACTTCCGCATAATGGCCGTTTTCCCAAATAAACCTTCACATTACACAAAGTGTCAGCGGGCACGGCGGTCAGTTACCCTTTCATCAGGACATTAGTTATGAACGAAGTCATAACTGTCCTTCTGGATGAAGTGGTTGATGGCGGGGTCAATCAATTGATCCTTTGCTTTTAAATTAATCAACCATTGCTTCTCAAGCACTCTGAAGACGATGGGCTGACTTGGATAAACTTGTAAGTCACAAAATCCACATTTGGCCCGAGACCCCCTCTCTGCGCCAAACAGCAAGCAGTCCTAGCAGTGGAGCTCCTGCTCCTTGGTCGACCGGGTCATCCGGGGTATCGTGGTGTAATTGCTGGAGTTGAAATGCCTCTCAAAAGCATTTTTTGCACCAAATTAATCTCTGGTTTGCCGATAAACTAGAACTTTTCATTTAAAGTTAATGGAAAACGGTATGGATAATAAACTCACAGCTTCCGTCACGAACCAACAAGCTAGCTAGCGTTAGCTTTTTTCGATAGCTTCGTCCCCACAGCGGGCGGAACTTGTCGTAAAGTTAGAGATAACAAAGCCCACCTGTGTAGAGGGAAGATATGATTGGTCAATCATTGATTGGTCTCTCATTGAATTACTATTGCTTGGGCCTCTGTAAATTTATAGCTGGACTACCAAGCACTAACATTCTTCCCAGCAACAGCAGATACGGCAAAACTCTTTAATTTAACCCTTCACACTGCAAAACAAATGGAATAGGCAGGTTTGAAGGATTTAATTTTGTTTGTATTTGTTTAGATGTTAATTGTCAAAATATTATCAGATAAAACTAGAGCGACTCAATTTTAAAATATTATTTTGAGTATCTTAGTCCCTCTCTGAGGGCGTAGAGGGCCCTGACAGTTCCCCTCTGACAGAAAGTAGTGAGACAGCTTGCTAACAAAGCTTAGCCTAATTTCTAAACGAACACGCCACCTGTGTTTATGGAAACATTCCTGAATAAAGTCTGAGAAATAATATACGTTTACCTGAGTTTTTAAGCCGTCTTTCCTCTTCGGCTCAAATAACGCCCAAAAACGCGTTTTGCAGATTGTTCTGACAACTGCGCATGCGCGTCTCTCCTCGACGTGTGGACGCTTTTCCTTTGGGTTTTACCAGATTGGCTAATTTTCCGAGACGCCATGTTGAGCGTTACTAGCGCTCCTATTTATTTTCGATCAGTGACGTGTTTCCTCCTTTATAACGTCTCTGGTCCACATACCCAAATGGTGACACTTGATCGGTCAGCGCTCTTCTACTGTCCATAAGACACTCAAGGCAAACAGGTCCAGTGCAGGGTTTGCAATACACAGGTGTGTTAATTGCCTGTATGAACACATTTGTGCTCCTTTCTGGAGATATACCATGAATAAGCCTGCAATGCATTTTTTATACTAGGGAATGGTCCAAAATTGTCAGCTAGTAGTTCTCAAATTTTCTTTTTTGTTGTGTGTTGTAGAGAAACTTACCAAGATTTCACTACAATGGTGGTGATAGGAGCCACAGGTTGAGATGTTAACAATAAAAATATCCCCATTTTATTTATCCATAAGGACCAGTGAACCTACATGTGTCTTCAGAGTTTTATAAGTAATGTTGATTATAAAAATAGTGGTAATGTACCTTCCTACCAGGAATGTATTTCAAAAATACATTTTCATCCAAAACCTCATCCCATCCAAAGGCATCAGGCAGTGTATTCACAACCATTTTTGTTTAATAATTTTGTGAGGGAGCTTTTAGAGGCATTAAATGGATGTCTGGTGAACCACCACTGTGAACAGTTATAAGTTTCTCTAGAATGGAAAAAGATTGAGAAATATCAAAAAATGGATGGAATTCCCCTTTAAGTTTAAAGGATTGGTCATAAGGTATTGTATATAGGTACTACTGGTTATTATTATGGCTAAGCAGTTGGTTCCTATGTTCGTACATGAAAAATTGGGACACAGAGCTTTACAATACAATTACAGCACATTCAGTAAGGGACAGCTGAGGCCTGTGGAGCGTAGGGCACACAGAGCGGTGCAGTCAGTGCACCAGGGGCTAAACTCCCACATATGAAACTTGTGATATGTAAGAAGTTTTATTTTTAAAGCTATTGGAAAGCCCCCTTACCCACGCAACACCCTCTAATTCACACTTGATGATTTGAACTTTTGACCATGCCTGCAGTTAACTATTAATGAAGTGATTGCAAAAAATGTAGGAGGTTGAAGAAACTGGGATGTTTTTGCTCCGTGCTAGAAGGCCGAAGGCACGAACTGGATGTGATAGGTCTCATCACAGGGAACTGTAGTGGTAAGTAGGTTAATAGTCTGTATTAGACAGGAAAGAACGGTTTCTGGATCTTTCGGCTGGACTATCACATAACTTCATTTACTTGGTAATCCAAAGAATTCTGGATACAAGACGTGTTTTCGCTTTCAGCCACTAGAGCAAGAAAAGTAATTTGGACTAAGTAAAAGAGAAACATTTAAGTGAGAAGGTTGAGGGAAACACACACAGCATGCTCAATTTCAACATTTAATTATAGACAAAATGTTCTATGTCATTCTTTATGTACATGTATAATTACAACTTAAGTTATAATTCAAGAACTTTTTTCCTTTTTTATACATCTCATTTGTGCTTAATTTAAGGTTTGTTCATGGTGACATTCCCCATCTCACATACAAAAAGAAACTGCGGTGAGCTCCCCCTGTAAAAGCCTGGGGATGCTCCACCGGCCAAGCAATTCATTCAACAGAAAGGGCATTCACATTACTGTCCATCATTATGTACAAAAACAAGAGCGCATCTGCAGCTACATTATACATATTAACAAACTACAGATCTCAATATCTACAGTGATTATTGTACAGAGAACTGATGGTGGGGCTGGGGATGTGTAGAATGAGGGAGGAGGAGTTCTGTTTGAGGCTTGAAACATGAACATTCTGCTAATTGGCTTCCACGCTAAGAGACCAGCTCCTTCAGTGACTGTGTTCCACCCCGTGTGTGCATAACTGTAGTGTCAGTGCTCCTCACATCCCTTAGATTTTTACTTATGTATTGCCTAAAACGAGCTTCTCTCTTACATTCTACTGAGCAGCTGCTGAAGTGGACAGATCCTTTCTGAGGCCTTTCTCAGTACCTACCATGATATTTCTGCCACTTTAGCATTTTAAAGTAGCTTCACATTTGATCCATAAACCTGAAAGACAATTTCCTGCTACAACCACACATCAGTTCCGAACTCGGCGCGATTTAGCCGTGGTAGGTCTTGTCTGGTTGCGAGAGCTCTGATGGAATGCACTGTGATGTTTGTGAACGCTCTGTCTCACCTCAATCATGGCTCATACGGCTCCCATCACAACAAAACTGACAAGCAGGCAATGGCAGACACATAAACCCAATCTCAATTCCACTCTTAAAGCTCTGCACACTCCGCGAGTCTCTTTATATCCAGAGCACGATACACTGTAATACGCGGCGTGACGACTGAAAAGGAATTTGTACGGGAAAACCAGGAAGGAAACCTCAATGTCGCAAATAACTTTGGGGGACAGAAAATAAGCAGCAGAGTCGAATATTCTGCATCTGAATAGTCTCTGTTGAAGAGATCAGGAGGGTATATAGGAGTCAAATCCACTACATGCAGAATAAACACCGCTCCAAACTGGAATGTTAGCACATGCAGGTCCCATAAGGAACTCCATCAATGAGCAACAATAAGCTCTTTGAGGAGTAAATTTGGTTCCAGCTGTGGCAGTCAGAGGCCACCGTTCATTCATTTAATTTCAAATCAAAACAGCAATTAAGTTCAAGCTGTTAATTTTTAGGAGATATTTCTGAGGATATCAGATATAAAACAATCCTCTTCCATAAGGAAGGGGGGAGTCAAAGCTCCAAAACAGGAGTTCAAAAAAATATTGACCAGGTAGACCTGAGAGATCAAGCTCCACTCTTGCTTCAGATCTGAGAAAATCCACAGATGTTTCTGTCCATCCTTCCACTGTAAGAGGACAACTCAACACTATGAGTCTGAAAGGACGTGTAGCTGTCAAGAAGCCCTTACTGAGAAAAGGAAACAGACAAAAAAAAAGACAATTTGCAAAAATCAAACAAAAAAGCTGCTGGTGTTCTTAGAACAATAAAGTTGCCACCCCAGACCTTAACATCACTGAACGTGTTTGGGAATGTTTGGATCGTGAAAAGCAGGTAATGCAACCAACGTCTAAGACTGAACTTTGAAATTGTGGAAAAATATCCCTGCAGATTTCTTTGAAAAACTGAAAGCAAGTCCCCTGAAAAGAATGGAATCTGTGATAAAGAGAAAGGTTGGAGATGCTAAAAACAGAAAAAGGTTAATATTATGTTGTTGATGCTTCTGTGTAATTTTCTGTTAAATATATAAATAAATGTATAATTTGAAATGAGTAACTCTTATCTAATAACTGTTTTGACTGGTAGTCAGAATGTTGCACAGAACTGTGTGTTTACATGTTTGCATATATACAGTACTGAGCAAGACACCAAAGGTCATTTTTGAGACCACTTATCTCAGCAGTAAGCATGTTTACAGTAAGAAGGTTACAGTAAGTAACAAGAATTTCTTTCTATTTTAGCGTACTGAAGTATTTGTAGTCAGACAGTTGGATGATAAGTACAGTTTGATGTGAGGAGATTTGGAAATGGTTAAAACAAATACATTCACATAGTGCTAGTACTTATTGATAGTACTTATTGTATTAATGTAATTTGTATTTATAATATTAGTGTGTTTCTGAGCAAATAAATGCCTACTGAGTAGATAAACAACTTTTTAATCCTAATTTTTTCAGGTGCCTTAAACTTTTGCACAGTACTGGATACATGCACACACACGCATGAATTTATAGGCATTATCTAAGACGACTTCTTGTTTTCCACCTGGTACAGATTTCAGAATGTCACATTTGTTCATTTCCCATCTGACCTTTAGCTCCCATTCTAAAACCCGCTCTTTAGTCATGATAATCATAATATCTAATACTCGCGCATTCACAGTCAGATGCACGGGTACACACACTATAAATTTAATTGCATAGGGCCGACCACCGAGTGTGTGTGTGGAAAAACAACACAGTCTAAAATGGCATCTGACATTTTGAAAAACCCATAAAAGCTGCTGCACACATTCATCTCTGAGGCCTTTGCCTCTGTGCTCTCAGTTCACTCTGTTTCTGTTCGAGACAGGAGCTAAAATGAGTCTGAGAAATGGCCTCAGATCTCAGAGGAGATACAAAGAGTGTGTGTATGTGTGCTCAAAGAGAGAGCGAGAGAGGAAAATAAACTTCTACAAGCCTAAAAACTTTGCTAAAATGCTCCTGATGGAAACTTAAGCAGTAAACAAGGCTCTGATCTGTGTGAGAGAGGACATAAAAGGGATTGCTGTGCAAAACCAAAAAGAATAGATCAGCTGCATGAAAGATGGCAGCCTTGCTGCTAAACCGACCCACTAGACTAGGTGTGCCAAAGTCCATTCCTGGTGGTCTACAGTTCTGAAGAGATTGGTTCCAACACTAATTTAGGACAACTGATCCAGTTAATTAAGGACTTCAGAAGCTGTTAGAGCCTTTGCATCCTGGTTTCTGTGATCACTAGTGGTTAAATGAAATGGTGATGTAGCAGATTGGCAACCAGTGATTACAAAATCCAGGACTGGAACCTGGATTCAAGATCTTTGGTTGAAAACCTACTCTTCATGTTGGTAGATCACCAGGACTCAACGTAAACATCCCTGCCATAGAACTGGGGTCACCAACTAAGGTCACCTGCCTTAGAACTGGGGTCACTTGAACACAAAAGGCTGGTATGGCAGCAGGTTCTCATTCCAATCAATTCTAAGCTGGTCTCAGTCTTTTAACAGTTGACTAATTAGCTGTGTTCCAAACTCAGGGCTGCAGCTGAGAAAGGTGGGCTCTTGAGAGGACTGTCCTACGAAGGCTGCTCGTTTGTTTTATGTAATGCAAGACGGAATGATCTACTACAGCCACTTTGTCATGTCACCAGAAAGGAGCTGGTACACAAAACCTAACAGAGGAAATACTGTTGATGTGAATGACAATCTGGTTGATGTGAATGATTTAATAGGCTATATGAAAGGCAAAACAATTTGTGTGTAAGTGAATGCTGCCCTGCAAGCTATAAACTGTTAGACTAACCAAATGTAGGCACATTTCACAAAATTCAATTTTGCCCTTTTAAAAGATATATGACTGAAGAAATAGCAGACTGTATATCGTTGTTGTTGGAACAAAACCTTGTATCTCCAAAATGAGAACTTAACAGGAGAAGGAAAAAACACACTTTACTTTTAATGTAAGTCAATGGAACCAGACTTTTTTTCCCCCCCAAGTGATTCTGAGCTGTTTCTTTGGGTCCATTCATCATGAAATTTTCACACCATGTAAAGGCCAACAGGCATTTTCAGACTATTTCAAAAACTGAAAAAAGAACAAAAATGGAGATACAAGGTTTTGTTCAGACAGCAGCTATATGTTACTATAATTTCATACTATATCTTTAACTTTCAATGGCTTGGATGCGTGCACAAAAGATTATGGTGACAGTAGATTGCGAAGGATACTCTGGTAGCGTCCTCAAAAATGGTCAAAATGTGGGCTGCATTTCTCGGCTGTATTAGAAGGACACTTCTGAATGAAACAGCCTAGGACAACATAGCAGTCTAGAAATGCAGCCTAACTTTTGGAAGGTAGCTGTTATGAGTTGTGCTCCTGCTTGATTGGAATAGAAAACCTGCAGCCACACAGGTGCTTTGACGATTAGACTGGTGTCCCCTGTCATAGATGTTTCATTCTCACACATGTAAACACTCACACACACACACACACACACACACACATTTACGAACAAAGCTCCAACAATGGCCAATCTGACACTACAGAGATCCGTCTACAATTAGAGCCATGATTTAAGGGACACAGATGCACATCCTGTATGACCGCCCATTTGTGTGTAGGTGAGCGTGTGTGTGGGTCGGCATGTGTGTAATTTGGGCGAGTATGCATGGGTAGGTACGTGCGTAATAGCTATGGGCGGTCCGGCTGTGTGTTGCCACGGAGACCATGTTGCAGCAGTGCAGGGGTACCTCCTCCTGAGTGTAAAAAGGGACTAAAACAACAGTAATAAGTTAAATATCATATAGCGGATGCAGGAGAGAAGTCAGTCAATCAGTCAGAGGGTAAGGGTCTCTTTCTGTCCACCTCTCCCTCTCTTCCTTTGCTCTTCTCTATTTGAGTACATTCCATTGGCCGGGAGAGTTTCTCTCAGTTTCTCCAAATCAGAGTTCTCACGGAACGCTAGATTACGCCCCTGCTCCTTTAGTGAGTGTGGGACCCCCGCCACGTGTATTGCATGTGTCCGTGGCTCAGTCCTGACGGAGGTCAAAGCTCAAGGGGCTGGGGCTGAGGGGGGGGGGGGGGGTGGGGGTAAAGGTCAGATGCACGTAGCGGGCTGTGCCAACGGTTGCTGCTTGCGGTTGCGCAGCCCTCCTGATTTCTCCTTATAGCCCACACACATCTGCTGAGACACGTCCACCAGCGCACTCGCTACTGCCAGACCTGAGAGAGGGAGAGAGAGAGAGAGAGAGAGAGAGAGAGAGAGTGAGTAAGAGTGGGTGAGAGAGAGAGAGAAAGAAAGAGAAAGAGCGAGAGAGAGAGAAGGAGAGAAAGAAAGAGCAAGAGAGAGAAATAAAGAGAAAGAGAGAGGAGGAGAGAGAAAGAAAAAGCAAGAGAAAGAGTGGGAGAGAGCAAAAGAGACAGACAGAGTGAGCGCGAGAGAGAGAGAGGCGGAGCTTTTATAATGGCTAAAGCCAGTGGTCCGCATGATATTTTTACAACGGACACGACCTCAATCTCGTCCAGCAAAGAGCTCTTTGTCTTTAATAGCCTACAGCCTATTAGTTTTATCTAGCATCACATTTTGAGTGTTTGCAGTGTTCTACCACAAGCATTTGCCGGCAGTTTTCAGGCATAATTGGTGAACATAATGTTCACAATGTTTTTATAAGCTTAAATTGCTAATAAGTTTATAAGCAAACACTGATTTTTGCGAACCTTTCCCACTGTGGCTGGCCTAATGATATAATGCTTTTATTTAGCACTATCAACTATCAATTACAGCTACTATAACCTTGAATTCCAGATACTATAATGTCTACTGGCTTTATGTGGCCACTGTTGTGGAATCAGCCCTCCTTTTCGAGGGATATTTTTCTAGCAAATCACAGTCAGAAGGTGGTGAATTCAGAAATGAGGTTGTGTATTACTGCAACTATACCACTGACTATACCACAGCTTCATTACTGATTTTTTTATTGGATTATAAGACAAATATGACACAAGAAAATGATTAACAATACATTTTATATACATTCTCTGAGTGATGCTATAGAGATGCGCTCAGAGCAACATTAGGAGATTTTGGAGGTCAGAGAATGCCTTTCAGCCAATCACACTGAGATGTCAGAACTAACTGATTGGAAGCAATGTGGGCCTTCACACCCTACAAAGTCACCAAATGCCCTTGTGGAGCTTAAGTTACAGAGACCGAAGCAGCTACAGCTAATTAGGTTAACTTAAAACACAATTGTCTAGCTAATGCTAAAGCTTTAGCCTCAAGACTCTGAAGGACATTCACAAAGGAGCGTTTTAATTTGTCTTCGCAAATTCAATTTAGATTTAGATTCCATCTACTTTTATTTAAAATATTGACTGAATATTGTTTACTGTTATAAATTCTATTTAAACAAAAGAATAAATTAATTTCTGACTAGATTCAATGGACACCAAAATGCTAGCACACATTCATTTGTGGATGACACCAAACACTTTCAGCAGCAAAATAAACTGCCTGCGAAAAAAAGCTTGGTATTGTAAACAAACCCCCACCTGACTGTCCTGGAGTTGGGATGCCGCCGGGGACCTCTGGGTAATCTGATGAAGATGGACAGCACTGCTGCCTTATTTCCGAAACATGGTTCCAACGCTATGGGCTTTGGCACCGACTGCAGAAACAAAGAAAAACAAGAACAAAACAATAATTGACCATTGGCAAAATTTTGATTTATACACCCCTCAGGCAATCACTATTTTCCCTAAATGTTCCTTCCTCCATCAAGCGAAGGAAAACTCCTTGAAACAAACCTGCAGTGAGAACTACACTGGCAGTGAATTAGTCAGAATTAACAGACTAAGAAACGGTGGGAAGGTGTTGCCAAAGAATGTATAATGCCTGACAGGTGCTCCCTCATCATCTGTAGGGTCATTTTATTCCTGAAGCTGAAAAAAAGTCTTGGATGAATCTTTGTGGAAGACCAAAATCCAAGCTCACTGGCAAATCATTAACAGGCAGACTTATGCTGAATCTAAGATAAGCTAACCTTTATCTGGCTTGCTGTGTTTGTGATGTCTAATGAGAACTTTAAGATCAATTAGCTTGTCTTAACTTAGTTGCTGACCATTTGAGGTGGAATTTGAATAAAGCTAGAAAACAGGAAGCCATCTCAGCCTTGTGTTTGGTAAACAAGTCAGGATAAACAGGACTGTACAGTCCTCACATTTGTGATTTAAACATTACATGTAAAGATAAATATGAACACACTTGTACTCATGTCATTCTTTCTACTGTGTTTCATTTAAGTTTACTGAAAGACCTTATATAAAAGATTAGTCTTCTCAGCGTATATGCTCCAACCCATAGCCCTATTGTTTTAGCATTAACTCATCCGAAGGGGCAGCTTCCATCGCCAAAGCCTCCTCCTTATTAGACATAAAAACTTATCTAGTTGACGTCAAGTGATTAAACATTTTCTCTGGTTTGATTAATGTAAATGTTTTCTAGAATCTATTTTTGTTTGCTTTAAATTGGCCTACATGCATATTTTGTTGATTCTCAAACCAACATCTTGTAAAGCCATTTTTTTTAGTAAAAAATGTTTCTAAATGTACTCCTCTTTGTGCCTCTTAAGTTTCTGCTATACTACTGAACTTTTTAGTCTGTTAGCACTACAGATGCTACCAGGTAGCCTGAATTAAATTTGACAGACAAGTCAAAAATAAGGTGGTGAGATTTCCAGAATTTTTCAATTTTTTGTCAATTATTCAATAATAATGTGTACAATGTTGTTCCAACGCTGCAGACACTGGCACTGCTTTCTCTCACACACACAGGCAGACAGTAGGGCACATGAATATGTTTTAAAATGGGTCAATATAAGTTTAATTACTGTGGTCTTTCCAGTCAGAGACCGTATGTGTGTGTATGTAATCCCTGGCCAGGGTTAAAGCGCACCCCCCTCTTCCGCTTTTGGCACAACTTCAGTCTCACACTCACTAAACACATTCCAACACTGACCCATTTTATCATTTATTCTGCCCTCAGTCCCCAAGGCTTACTTGCCAGCGCATACACACACATATACATGTATATTAGTGTGCATTCTCCCCCTGTTTAAGCACACACTCTGTTCCCCTTCCTTTCCACCCTTTAAGCCACTTCTTATACTATTGTAGTCTGCTCTCTCTCTCTTTCTCACTAAATGCAAGAGGAAAACCTCATTTATCTCCTCAGCCCTCCCACTATGTGCACACACACACACACACACACACACACACACACACACACACACACGTGCACACACACTTCAAATTCTGGGGGTGACAGTAAAAGAAGAAACACCTCATAAAATTCAATTACAGCCTCAGAGACAAACTGTGTCTGGGAATGGAACTCTGTGTGTGTGTATGTGTGGGTCCATTCTGTTTTTTAGCTTCGGAGATTATCTGAGGCAACCAGACTGAGCCAGCAAAACACAGGTTCTGTTTAATTAACTCTTACAAATAAAGGGGAGGGAGGGGAGGGGGGAAAAGAGAGAGAGAGACAGAGAAGAATGGAAATTAGGCCTACAGAGAGGGGAGTGGAACTTACTGGGTCTGCAACAAGTCTACCATTAAGTCTTCTACGGCATTAAAGGAGGCCTAAGAAAAACCCAGCAGTTTAAGAAAACAGCAAGAGAATCTTAAACTGATATTGGAGGTGCCTGCCGATGGATCTCTTATGTGGCTAGACTGAAGTCAGGTTTAAAGACAATGTTTTTTTGTGGGAGATAAATTAGCCAATTATAAGTTTGGGTGTTAGGTTGGCCATATAAATCCTGCTAAAAGTATCAGAATGACAAATATTTTTGTAGTTTTAGCTCTTCTACCATCTTTGAGATTCATTTTTCAGTGACTTTTACTAGGTGATCAAGCAGAGTAGTAACTAGTCTTGCTGATGCTAAATATGTTCAGGAACAGTGAAAACATGTTTCTCAGAGGTCAGCTAGCCACTGGTGAGAAAGCATTCTGCTCCACACTGCAGCACATAGGACAGCAAGAATCGTAGTGTTGGCACATTGTCTACTGAAGAGAAAATACCTTGTGTAAGACAAGCACTCATCAGCATCCAGTGTTGTACCAGTTAGCTATAGTTCTAGCTCATCTGAAGAGGCAGCCTTTGTTAATTTTGCAACACAAAAACAAAAAAACAAAAATTTCTCTCAGCTTTTTTTTGAACAATAAAACATGTTTTCAAATGTGTTCCTCTGAGTGCTGCAAAATTTTCGTGGTACAGATTTTTCACCTCTTAACGCCAGTGCTACCACCAAAGAGAGTAAGCCTCCAGCTCCAGCCCAACGTTAAATTTAGCCAAAGTATATTTTATTTCTGCTGTTTCTTTCCTTCCCCGCGGTTTACCAGATTGCCGTTGATTAACTCTTGCAAAACCTTAAATATCAAAATTAGTCAGAATGCACATCACTAGTAAGAAGTCACATGTACTCAAGCTGTTCCTGAGCATTTCTAAATGATTTTTACTTCTTTTTACTAATTTGACTTCTACTCAAGTATATCTGGGAGGAAGGTAATATACTTAGATTTAGATACTAATTCCTTTCTTGTGTTTAGTTTCATTATTTTAACAATACTGCTTCGCGATCAATCTCACCACTCACTTTTGAGGTTTCAGACAAGAAGAGTTAAGAGTTAAAAACCAAATACTGCCTAACAAACTAAAGTTTCTATGCCCACATGCTGGAAGAAGCACTGCAGTTTCTTAGTACTAAAGTAGCTTGTTGACCTGTTACTTTCTTACTAATTCTCAAGTTGGTTTTATAAAGTTTTTTTTTTTAACACTTAATGTCAATGCTTCATTACCTATAGAGGGGATGAATAACATTTATAAAGCAGTCCTTGAGTATTTAAGATCAGCTAACGCCATTATGACAGACGGTTTATGATGACACTGTATTGACGGAAGGGGCCTTAAACTAAAATAACAGACATTTGTTTGTGTCAAGCACAGTCAGAGCCATTGTTGCTGCTGGTCCGTGCAGTACCATGAATCCTTAAACCCCTGCCGTTGTTGGCTAAAGTGAGATGGTGGTGATGAAAACCTTTCACTTCTCTGTATAAACCCATTGTAGGCCAAGGACAGAGAGTGTCAGCTGGCTACTGGTAAGAAAGCATTCTGCTCCACATTGCAGCACATGGGACAGAAAGCATCTGAGTGTCACTTGTTTCTTTCTTCCTACCTTTTGCTCCATTTTACTGACACCCTCTTGTCTCCTCTGTGAGATTATAAGCTATTTGTATTTCTCTGAAATCTTTACAGTGGGGGCAGGAATATATGTGAAGGAGAGGGAGAAAGAAAGCGAAAAAGAGAGGCAGGGAGAAAGAGAGAGAGAAAACATGGAAGAAAGGTAAATCTAAATTGAATCTGTGCTTCGGGGCTGTGTCTAGTATCCTGGGAGAAAACGTGGGGAGTTCCAATGAAAACAGAGAAGATGAAACATAAAAAGATACGCACACTTTGCCTATGAACACAAACATATACACACACACAATAAAAAAACATCGAGATCAGATCCAGCTATACGGTGATGTACTCGTACACACACAGAGTGAATGCTCAGTCTCACTGTGTACTTTTCCAGTATCATTTCACAAACAGTATGAGTGGAGTTCTCACCCTAAAAAGAACCAAGTTGTGAAGCTACTGGACACACTAAAAGCTGTGGAGAATGGACATCTTTGGGACAGCGCAAAATGGCCTCAGCAGCCAGCTGACTCAGCTGGTTAATCAAGATATGTGGTGATGTCCAGCCTTATGAAAAATGCAGTCATTAACACACTCTCAGGCCCAGGCATGGTGGTCACTGTCCAGAAGGTCACACTCACCTTCACGTTTCCACCAATCAGGTCGGGCGGCTCCTCGTCCGTCTCCAAGGCAACGTTGATGGTGGCAAACGGCCGACTGGCCATCTGCTGCATCTCTCGCAGGAGTTGCTGAGGAAGTAGAGAAGGAGAAAGATAATGCAGCAGTTTCACAAACACGTACATAAACACACAGATGCTCCGCTCTGTACACTGACTAGAGTTAAGAGTAAAACCAAAACTATTATACTGAATCGTAAACACTGGAATAAGCTTGTGATGTGAGCACATACAGTGGGATCTTTTAACAGTCAGTTTTTAAAAATTGGCTTTTCACCCAGAAAGTGACAGAGAAGCAGACAGAACCCTCCTCACCACAAATCACTCAATTAGAATTCCCCACTGCCTGACTTGTGTTGTATGCCTGCAAGCTCTTCTATAAGCCTAATATAGAGGGGCTTTCACAGAACACCAAGAAGAGAGCAATTGCATCATTTTCTTTCATATACTGCACATCCAAAACAATATGTCAAAGGACATATTTATAGATATCCTTAAAATACTCACCAGACAGACAGACATACAAGAAATTAGGCCTATAAATACAAAGTATACTGGGCTGGAAGTGTGACCATTGAGAACTGACATTAATCCGTCAGCAAAGCATTGTTTAAGCTAACACCCTTAGAATATTAAATAACATCTAAAATCTAAACCTAAAATTACATTGGCAGATATTAGTTACCAGAATTTATCCCCCTAAAATTGATATCAGCTACAAAATCAGTCTGGCTCTACTATGGATGCACTTCTCCACATAGACTTCAGAGACTCCTTTTTCAAAAGCACATCCCTTACTCAGTGGCAGTCAAAATGTATGTGCCAGGAAGGAGTCATTGCTCCTCCATATCTAATAGCAAATACAGAATTTTATCATTCAAAACAAGCACAAACCATCCTTACCTCATGCAAGGATAGTGGTTCAGCAAGATACCTCACATGCTATCAGAGAATCAGGGACATGTACATAACCTGAAGTTCTTTTAAGCATTTGTTTTTGTATCCTGTATCATCAGACAAGCTCATATTGAAGATAAAATGCCACATTTGAACAGTCCATTAATGCAAACATGAACAATTCTGTTTCTGACGGGCTAGTCCTGCCCCTCAAATAAGGCTACATTACGCCATAGTTGGCAGACTGTACAAACTACATGTACAGAAACACAGAGAAACAGGCTGCACACCCCCTGAGCAGCTCCCACTATCCAGTGGGTTCAGTATTTTTTAGTAATGTATTTGCCAACATGGGGTTTTGCCCAAGATATGAACATTCTGTCCTGTTCCTTTAACTGTGCAATGTACATACCAAGCACAGAACATGCAAACACTGTGGCTCTTGAGAGGCAAATAGAGGGGGATGGAATGGCCTCAAGGTAAAAACATGCTGCTGAGAAATTAATAACCTTAGGAATAAATGCAGGATTAGGTCTCAACAAAACCCTGAAATTCCTGGGAGGAAACCTGATGCCCGCTGGGTGCACTGAGAGAGCGTGAATATCACTAACACTGTGGTTTTCAACCTGTGGGCCATGGTGGTACTGCTAGAGGGCCACTGACTGACAGTGTTTTTATTATTATTATTTTTTAACCACAAAACTTCATTGTAATATATAGATACTTTACCAAACAATTTTAAATGGCAAAATGTATAACATAAGTCAAATGGCTAGCTAGCTACATTTTTTTTTTCCAGTTTGAGTCAATGTACAAACATTTGTTTCTTTAAGTTGAATGGAATTTAACAATCAATGATAAATGACTACAAACAGAAATTTTTTTTTGGTGTTTATATGTTATGTACGTTTGACCAGTTACACTGTGGTTTATTTGCTTGGATTCAAAATAACCTGGCAAGCAAAACCAGTGACCGATTCCATGAGAAAGCGAGTGATGGTCTTCATAAATAATAAACTATTTAATAAATTGTTACTCCATTGTCATGGTATGGCTTAAAAAAGTTCCCCATTTTCTGTAAAGGCTCTTTTAAGTATTAAGATCACTAGGACACTGCTGATCACTCCTCAAACATCCACCATTTACCATCACAAAGGGTCTGAGCAGATGGGACCCAGACATTTCAAAATCAGCCCCGAAGTGCAGAATGCCAGGAGATTCCTGTATAAAGGTAGGGACCATGGCTGTTCGCATAGAACTTCCACTAGCCATTGCTTCTTCTTCCAGTTCAGAGTTATCAGAAAGTGATAGAACTCCTCTTTCACCTTTTACCAGAGGTGGTAATATCAAGGTTAGTGGTAGAAATGCCTGACCACAAGCATCTATTCCAATCTACTGATCATTTCAAGGATATAACAGAAGGCATAGAGTGTCCTTCTTCATAACAAATAGAGCTATGGCAGCTTTCCAAAAACAGGCCTAAGCCTAATTCACCACCTATTTATGCATTTTCATATCCCTACAATGGGGATTTCCCCAGGACAACAAATCTGCTCTTCTATTTACAAATCCAGTGAGGTTAGCTCTGTGAAAGAGATGGTAATCGGAAGTCAGAACACTACTGACAGTGTTCACATGGAAACTCATTAGTTCTCTACGTAGTGTCATTGTCCACATATCTCCAAAATGGCAACTTTACAAGAGAAGGCAAAAACCTCTTTACTTCTGAGTTGATCTAAAGAGATTTTGGAGAATTTCTATTCATCCACTCATCATTACATTTCCACATAATGTAAAGAACTGTACTCAAATGATATAGGAAAATCACCTATTACTGCAGGTAACCATGTTTTGTTCCTACTGGTCCCTCACCGCCTCCAGCACCATACTAGACACCTAGGCACTTAGTCCAGGCACCACTGGTCAGAGTTTTGACTAAGCTGGGGACAATGTCTACAAAGTAGGACATTCTGAAGGTGGAGGGTGGTGATCTGAACGGTGCATTGTAGGGAAACTCTGATTTCTTCACAGCGGTGGTGATAGGAATACCAGGGTTTTGGTGTCTACAATGCAAATGTAGCCATTTTATTTACTATCCAAAGCCAACAGTGAACCTACATGCCACTTTGGCAGTGGTAAAACAGTGGTAAACATGGGTGAAAATTGGTAGGTTTGCCTTAAAAAAAACCCTGCAAGTACTTTTCAATCATAAATGGATCTTAATAAATACATTTTAGACCAAAACCTTCTCGAAACAATGTCTCAGGCATCCGGCAGCATCAAAACCTTTCTAAAAACGTATCATTTAGTTCTACTAGCTCCTTAATGGCACACAGTGCTTGGACACCAACAATCACCACTTGTGATATTTGTAGACGGCTGCTAAGCAATCATAGTAGTTACGGCAGTACAAATAAAGTGATCTACGTCAGTTTCGACCACAAACGAATGAAAGCTGACTGTCTTGGTTGGTCTAGTAAGTTTAGCTTGGTTGCTAACCTTTTTTCACCTACCATTCCAAAGCTGCTAAAGAAGGAAATCTAAATATGCAAAAATGAAACCAACTTTACCACTCAAAAAGCACAGCTCTCTTTTCACCTTCTGGTAATGTTATCTTAGCTCTGATTGGCCCATAAAATTAAACATAATATCTGTGGGTTGGCTATTGACCATGAACCGCTGCTGTGCTGTGTTTAGGGGCGGAGAGGAGGGATTCTGTCATCAGACCCACTTGCCAATTCTAAAAACTCATTAAATGTACACGATTCTCATGAATGGTTTGTTTATCATTCAAAATGACAAATTTCGCCGAAAGGTGACGAGAGTTTAGCTCCAACCCTAATTTAAAACATCTGTTCCTGTTAATCAAGGTCTTCAGGAGTATCTGAATATCAGAGCCAAGTATGTTGTAACTAAACTCCGCAGGGCAGTACATCACCAAGACTGGACTTCAGCACATCTGCTTTAAAGCTTTTAAACACAAGCCAAAAAGCCACAATCACTTGTTTTCTCAGAGTTTAACAAGACAGCAGAATCAACTGAAATCATGGCTGTAGCTTCTACAATTACTTCATTGTCAAAGGTTGCACTTGAAAATAATGAATTTAGACATAAGACTGCATCGCTTCTAGGTACAAACAGAACAGCATGAAATAAATCCATTAAAGAACCTCAGGAATTGCTCCAATTGGAGATATTCTTGTTTGTTTTTTTCTGTCAAACAGTGCTGGGAGCACATACTGAAAAACACTAATCACTATTAATTACAATCTTTAATTTGGCTCTGCTGGATTTATGATAAACTCCTCCAAGTTCTAAGTTGGTCTAAATGTTCCCATACAGGGAGACCATTTTCTTGACTCTGTAGTTATTGCAGCAGTTTTTAGTGAAACAAAGTTTTATAAACAACTCCAAGATTACAGACAGATGGATAACTTCAGCTGACAGATCTTCAGCGTATAATGTGAGACTCTTGGTTTCTAGGTAAACTTTTGGTACTGTAAATTTGGGAAGTGGACTTATAGAAGTATAGACAACATTTATAATGTTCAACACTTCTCATATGTTCAGTGGGGCTAAGCACAGCAGTGAGTAGAACTGTCTACAGCAGCCTGAGGAAAATAAAATCTGTAATGCTAGTAGGTTAGGAATGTTCTGTCACATGGAAAACCCTTTTCAATTTCTGCTGTGTTTATAAAGTGCCGGTTACATCTTATTCTGACATTTTGACAAGCCATGTGCCCAGGCATGTGACCTGTGATGAGCCAATAGTATGAGACTGTCAAGACTAAAATATAACCAGACGCAGGCACGGATTAGCCTTCCTATTCATTTCAACAGCTAGTGCTTCACAGCACATGAATCACAGGAAGATCTCTATCTGCAAGCTGACACCTCATTCCCAAGTAGATGGTGCCAATATGTTAATCTGAGTCCTCGAAAAATCTATTTTTCCTGACCGAATGTAGAGAGAAGGCATGAATCAGATCATTAACAGGACCATCGACTGTGATCAATGATCTAAAAATCTAAAAGGGCCCATATCCTGCACCTGTCTTGTATTTTACTATACAAGTATAAGGGTCACTTATAATGTTAGTGTGCTTTTATGTCCCAAAAACAGTTATAACTAATTTTTACATGACCACTTTTCAACCTCTCTATCATTTAGAATT